GTAAATGTGTATTGTGTATACCTGGCCATAACGAATAGTTCTCTGACCATCCTACTTCCTTCTCCAATAAACTTCTGCACCAACTCAGATCCAGAAACTCTAGAATATATCTAAACTCTAATATTTATAAACAATTAATAAAACGTTATCTGAAAAATGAGGTATTAATGGAAGATGAAAATCAAACAGTTAACGAAAAGCTGATCCGTTATTTATTCTTTGGTTAATATCTCATATCTTCTGCCAGAGTCAAATATTGCATAATTTGATGAAAGCGAACTTAATAGAATAAGATTTTGGCATTTCTCAGATATAGTAGGTATTTGCGAGTTCCATGAAAACCAAAAAAAGTAAATTATTTTTTAAAAAACATCTAATTAGTTTTCTGTAGAATTTGTTCCATTTTTCGTGGTCGTCATTGTATAATTTTTGATAAAGCGATTCTCAAAACCATCCCTCCAAAAAGACAGTCTATGAGGATTTTAAAGATTAAATTAGCGAACAAAATATGTGCCGTAAAAGCGTATAATAAGTCTTAAATGAATCCTTAAAAGTTTCTCTATAAAACAGCATTCTCAGCTCAACTACCATGTCTAGCCAGACACTCCCAGGTCAACTCCTACCTGATGAATGTACACTCAGTATGATGAGCAACAGCTCGAGCCAACAGAGTCTTTCCTAGACAATCAATCAATCAATCAATAAATCAACCAGCAAATCAATTGATCAATCATCTCTGAAGCAAAAGTAGTTGTAGTACGGACAAATAGTTAAATATTTCTAGTGTAACCAAGAGTGCGTTAGATAAGTCGATAAACTAGCGATTCCTAGATCAAACACCATTATTATACAATTCATTAATTCCAATCTATAATTTGCGACAAAATCAATTAGCCAATTCAGCGAACCAACCAATGATTGAGCTAGCCAACTAACCAAACAAACAACCAACCATGAACTAGACACCGAACCAACCAACCATTGATCTTCCTAACTAACCAACTATACAACTTACCACAAACAGCGAAACAAACAAACCCTATTGAGCTAGCCAGCTAACTAACCAAACAATCAACCCCAATGAGCTAGACAACTAACTAACCAAACAATCAACCCCAATGAGCTAGACAACTAACTAACCGAACAATCAACCCTATTGAGCTAGACAACTAACTAACCGAACAATCAACCCCAATTAGCTAAACAGCTAACTAACCGAACAATCAACCCCAATTAGCTAACCAACTAACTAACCAAACAATCAACCCCAATGAGCTAGACAACTAACTAACCGAACAATCAACCCTATTGAGCTAGACAACTAACTAACCAAACAATCAACCCCAATTAGCTAACCAACTAACTAACCAAACAATCAACCCCAATGAGCTAGACAACTAACTAACCGAACAATCAACCCCAATTAGCTAACCAACTAACTAACCAAACAATCAACCCCAATAAGCTAACGAACTATCCAAACAAGCAATTAATTAACCAACCTGTTCCAGGAGGACCGTAGAGGAGAACTCCTTTAGGCTGCGCTATACCCAGGGCATCAAACAGCTCAGGGTGTTTAACAGGTAGTTCAATAACCTGAATATTATTCAATTTCATTAAGATTATAAAAAAAAGCAGAGTTGGACAACATCTGGCAAATTTTTCCCCTCTTAGCTTCATGATGTATTTACGCCTTAAAATCGTATATTTTCTATCTTAAGTGAGAAAAAAAGTAATTTTTCGTAAATGTAAAAATAATTTTAAGAATATTTCAAAACATGAAGGATATATAGGATGAATTTTGAAGATTGAGGAAAAATTAAAAAACTGTAAAAAAAAAGTTAAGGCCAAAAAAATATTAGCGAAAAGGAAGAATAAAAGTTTGAGATCCATTTTTTTAAAGGCGGATCCAGGATACGGATCCACATCCAGTGCTTAGGAGCCGGATCCGTATCCGTTGGATCCGCAAGATTTTGGCTTCCTGGATCCGGATCCGCAAAAATATGCGGATCCACGGATCCGGATCCAAGGGGTAAAATATCAACCAAAAACTGCAAAAAAAAAACCTTTTATACTTCTAAATCCAAAATCTGAACTTCTGAAAAAAAGAGGGATTATAAGAATTTCCTCATTTCTGAATAATACATCAAGTTTTAGGATAAAAATATGCAAAAAAAAAATTTTAAAATAATTTTTTGTTAAAAAGATTCAGTAAATCTTATAGAAATGACCTAGATCCGGATCCGGATTTGGATCCGGATCCATTTTTTTCCAGTGCGGATCCAGGATCCGGATCCGCATCAAAATTAAATGGATCCTAAGCACTGTCCACATCAATATGTATCCTTAGGATTACCTCCTTAATCTCCTTGATCTGTTTATCTAGACCTCCAACCATCTCGTAGGTGGAGTCAGGCACCTTCTCCACCATCATCAAGGACACCAGGGGGTCCACCTGAATCGATCAATCATTTATAACTTTATTTGAAAAATCAAATTAATCCATGATACCAGACAAACAGACCCGCCAGTCAACAACTTATTACGAAAATGATGCTGATTGTTGATGCTAATCTCAACTACAAAGAGCACATGTTACCGCCACATCAATCAATCAATCAATTATGTAAGCAATCTGAGCTAAAATTTGATATTGAGCTAACGTGTCGAGCAGAATAAAGAAATAAAGTAGTTGTTGATAGTGGAAAATATTCATCTATTTTCTGCTTAAAATAAAGTTTAAAGTCGAACTCAATTTTTTTTAATCTGACCTTATTAGGAAGGATCTTGTGGAGCGTGTAACTGTCATTACGCAAAGCGACGCGGCAGTTGGGCGTCACGTCGTTAATATCAATGTTTTTATCAACATCAACAACAAACTTTCCTGAAATATACAGCTGTTAATATCTTTAGACATTCCAAATAAACATTTATTAACTAAAGTTTAAAGATTTAATTCATGACCTAATGGGTAGTTAAAGAGGGACCTAAAGGGACTAAACATTAGTTTAGGTAAACCCCTCCCTGTAACCCCCCTTTACTCGTACCCTTTAAATAGAGGAAATGTCGTCGTTCTTTAGCAGTAAAAAGAGCTGGATTCTATCAAATTCTTTCTACGTCATTTGTGCATAAATCCACGCGTAACTTTATTAGAGACTCCCAGTTGGCATTAATCTATTTTTGAAATTGAAAAACTGGGATATCTTCTCTTTTAACAGTTGTGCTCCGACATAGATTAAAAAAGGACCTCTCATTAAATAGAGTATAGTCCCTTTAATATGATCGTTAATCACCTTCTGGGTGAACCTTGACGAGGACCTTCTTCTTATCCATAGGTTTCACCACCTCACCCACATAAGAGCACTGCTCCTGCAGGTGCTGAAGCTCCTCCCGGAGCATACGAACCTAAAAAAAATATAAAAATTAGTGAATAATAAACTTAACTCTTCAACTTCTTGAGCAAAAGTCAGGATTTAGCCAAATACGCCTCTGGGGTCTGTCCTAGTGAACGATTTTTATTTTCAGCAAAATTATTGTTGTTTATTTTATATATAGATTTTGGGTTGAGTTAGGATAAGAAAATTTCTGGGCCGAGCGCTGTAGCAGCTAAGACTGGCTAAGAGCCGAGCGCCGCGGCTAGGAAAAACTAGGAGAGGGCCGAGTCTTGCGGCTAGAAAAGACTGAGGGGCCGAGTACTGCGTCTAGGACATGCTAGGGGGTCAAGCGCCGCGGCTAAGACAGGTTAATGGGCCGGGCGCTGCGGCCACTTGATCTACTTGATCCTTGCGTTAGATGCGAGATTCATGTACAAAATAAAAGTAGGGGAGGAGAGGGGGGGGGGGGTCCAAAAATCGTATACTAGGAAATCACCAGAGCATATGCGTGACACAACGGTGCCGGAATTCATAATTTATTTGATCAAAGATCACCTCTTGAACGTATTGAGTCCCTTTAATACAACAAAGTGAATAGAAGTATGTGAAACTAGCCTTAGAGGGCGCTTCGCGCCCATCTTCTAAATTAATTGTGAACATGTTCTCTTTGTGTACATCGTAAAAGAAAACAAAAATAATTCGCGGATTTTCACAAAAAATTTCGTGGATTTTCAAAATTTTTAAAAATTTAATGAAGATCGAATTTTAATAGAGACAAATATTTGAAATTTTGATCATTCATAAACCTTCCCTGTGGTCACGTGATGTCCCACAAAAAATTTGGGCAAACAGACAAACAAACAAACAGACAGACAAGCCAAATTTATATATAGATTACCTTTGCGTTAAGTTCGTTCCTCTGTGCTTGTAACCTGCGAACATTCATTCTTTTATCACTGACAGTTAGAAGAAGTTCTTCAATCTTAGTTATATAATAGGAGCGCAGACCATCTCCTGTAGGGGCCCCTGGTCGGTCTACATCCATCATACTCATACCAACAACTTTTGTGTTTGGAGGCATTTTACAGGTTTAGTCTGAAATATATTAATTTCTATGTTAGTTTACCATTTTATAGGTTTAGTCTAAAATATATTAATTTCTATGTTAGTTTACCATTTTATAGGTTTAGTCTAAAAAAATTATAATTTTAAGAAAGTTTACAACTGTAACTATGATAAAAGTATTGAACAACGAAGCATTTAGGTAAGATTTAGCTTGAAAATGGATAATTTCTTGTCATTTTTGGTTTTCGCAAGTCACAACTTAGAATTGTGAAAATTGCCGCAATCAGTTCTTGAGAAACCGGTAAAAACGAAGACGATTTAGATTTTCAAAATACTAAGACGACTTTTAATAAAAATATAATTTTATTACACCATTTCAGGTTCGTAAATAGGAATTTGAGAGGTGGGATAGGACTGCAGTTAGAAATCCCACGTATAAGTACTTAAGTGGTGCGGTGCAGACAAAAATAAATTTGACCTGAAAAACTCAAAAAGGGTCAAAGTTTAAGACTAAAATTACATTATTTGCTTTTCATACATACATTATAGTTTACAAAGATAGATATTTTGCCTATTTTTAATTATGTTTTCTTTACCTAAGTGCTTTTGAGAAGCTATTTGCATACAAATAAAAAAATGGAGGTTAAGATATTGTAGAGATTTGAATGAACTATTAATTTTATTGCCGAAAATATCTGAATCACGAATAGCCAATATTTATTTTTAATGTAGGGGAATGAAAGAATATAAAAACCTGAATAGTGTAAAGATCAAGAAAAGCTCAAGGATGAAAATCTTCAGTTTTGGCAAAACTGAAATTCGAAAAAACTCTCCTGAGGAGGATGAGTATAAACAGCTTCTCCAAAACCTGGCCATATTTTATATACATATAATTTCAAATTGTCTCCATGTTACTTTTTGCTGTACGATGGTTCATTTGAATCATTAATCTGATAAAAGAAGGGAAAAGGATGAGCTTCTCAAAATACAAAAAAATTCATTAAAACCCTATCATTTCACAAGGCATGATAGAAATAAAAATTCCAAAATAATTTTTTTCAGAAAGCACTAAATTTGTCTTTAATTTGAAGAAAAAATAATCCTTTATAAATGATATTTGTAACAAAATTGAAATTTTATGCCAATTTTCTCCTCTTTTTCCTTTTTTCTTTCATATTTCGTTTCTTTCTTTAAATTTTTTATTTTTTTTGTCTTAGATAGTGTGTCCCCCCCCCCCCACCTAGCTACGAGCCTGGTTACAGGGTGTCATTAAATTTCTAAATAAATGCATGCATAAATGCATATTCTTTGTTTATCTAAAAAAAAGATTATTTTTGTTTGTGAATTCGACTAAACAGATTTTTCGAAACAAACATAACAAAACAAACAATTGTCAAACGTAAAACTAGAAACAAACATATGTATGGTATAAATGATAAAACCGATATGTATAACGTTACAAAACTTTAGGAACTGCCATGTGGGAGATCCTGAACTTCAAGTAACAAATTAAAAAAAGTTTAAATAATTAAAAGTCGTATATTTTCTGTTGGTAAACATTTAAATTTAGAACAAATGAGCTGTAAAAATATAGTTTCACACAAACCGGAAAACTGCACAATGCTCAGAACTTTTTACTGTTTAAAGGAACTGAATACTCGCCACAAACTCTGACTCTCAAATCCATACATTATTTGGAACAATATGCTGTTGTTGTCGGATAGGAACAAGATTCTCAATAATGAACAGATAGACAACGGAATAACCCTCAAATCAAAACCGATAATGCAGAAAACTCTTTATTTCCTAAAAAAAATGAAATATATAATGATAAATAATTATTACAATGGTTTACGAATTTTATAATGAAAAGATTCTTACGATCTATTTATAAGTATCTGTAGATTAAAACCGTTGGGAGTCCTAAGACGTTTTTTTATACATTAAAACTTCTGAAAAGAATGACAATTAAATGTTAACGAAAGTCACTAATTCTTTATATGAAAATATTCTTTGCTTAACTTTGAAATGGGTTCACAATTAATAAAAGTGTTTAGACTCCGTTGTCGGAAAACAAAGAGAAGCGGGGCTAAAATTGTTTGGTTTGGTGTCTCCGAGAGTGGATTTTAGGTTAAAGACGACATTACATGAATGGAAACTCTAGGTTTTGTAGGTTTAGGAAACTCTAGGTTTTGTAGTTAATGGTTGACAGCTGTATAAACCCTATGATATTTCAAACTATGTATTCTGCTAGATTAAATAATCTAAGTTTGAAATATCACCGGTTACAAAGATATAGGGATAAAAAAAAATTGAAGTTTTTTGTGAGTAATTTATAAAAATCTGCAGTTCTTCACATTAATGTTGATAAGCTTGGAACCCAGCTTCGCATGAAAACTAAACTTACAATAAAATATTCAACCTACTCAATTCAGAATTTTGAAATCAAGATGTTCATCAGTTAACATGTTAGGCCAATCGGTCTTAAGAGGTTCCTGAGTTATGATCGGACACACAAGCAAACAAACAGAGATTACTACTTTATATACAGGGTTACCTACACAGGATGAGACTGTAAAGTCGACCGAAAACTCTTGAAATGAGTCGATTTGCAGATTAATTTATGTTTTCTGGGTGAGATAAAGTAATCTATAAATGGCCTATGTAATCATTTGGCAAAGAAACTAAGAACTTCAATCGTCTCTGAAGTCTCATCCTCTAGAGGTAACCCTGTATATAGATGTTCAACATCAGAAACAGACATTACATAAGTTATTATTTAATAAAAAAGAAGTATATTAAAATTGTTTTTTTTCAAGAAAATCAAGATTTAAGGTTTGAGCAATTTATTAATCTACAGAAGATCAAGGGTTGATTAGATCAATATTTTAAACTAAAGAAGATCAAGGGTTGCTTAAAATCAGTTTATTAAACTATAGAAGATCAAGAGTTGACCAAATCATTATGTTTAACTGCAGAGGATCAAAGGTTGATAAGATCAATACTTTAAGCTATAGAAGATTAAGAATTGATAAGATCAATATATTGAACTATAGAAGATCAAGAGTTGATAAGATCAACATATTAAATTGAAGAAGATCAAGGGTTGATAAGATCAACATATTAAATTAAAGAAGATCAAGGGTTGATACGATCAATAAATTAAACTATAGAAGATTAAGGATTGATAAAATCAATATATTTGACTATAAAAGATCAAGGGTTTATAAGATCAATATATTAAACTTGACAAGATCATTATGTTTTACTGCAGAGGATCAAGGGTTGATAAGATCAATACTTTAAACTTAAGAAGATCATGGGTTTATAAGAATAATATATTGAAATATCGAAGATCAAGGGTTGATAAGATCAACATATTAAACTGTAGAATATTAAGAATTAATAAGATCAATGATTTATAAGATCAATATATTTAACTATTGAAGATCAAGGGTTGATAAGATCAATACTTTAAACTATAGAAGATCAAGAATTGATAAGATTAATGTATTGAATTAACTGCAGAAGATCAAGGGTTGATAAGATCAACAAATTAAACTATAGAAGATCAATGATTTATAAGATCAATGTATTCAACTATAGAAGATCAAGGTTTGATAAGATCAATACTTTAAAATATATAAGATCAAGAATTGATAAGATTAATGTATTGAATTAACTGCAGAAGATCAAGGGTTGATAAGATCAATAAGTTAAACTATAGAAGATCAATGATTTATAAGATCAATGTATTCAACTATAGAAGATCAAGGGTTGAAAAGATCAATAAATTAAACTATAGAAGATCAAGGATTGAAAAGATCAATGTATTGAACTATAGAAGATCAAGGGTTGATAAGATCAGTACTTTAAACTATAGTAAATTATAGGGTTGATAATATCGACATATTAAACTACTGAAGATCAAGGGTTGATAATATCATTATATTAAAACTAGAAATTCAAGGCGCTTCGCGCCCTTCTTTCTAGGCTTTTAGGGCGCTTCGCGCCCATCTTCTATTTAAATTGTGAACATGTTCTTTTTGTTTACATTTCAAAACAAAGATGAAAACAGTTTTGCGGATTTAAAAAAAAAATTCGCGGATTTTCAAAAATTTAAATTTTTTTACAAAATTAAAAACCTCTAAAACACAAATTTTTAAAATTTCAATCATTCATAAACCTTCCCTGGGGTCCCTAGATGTCCCACAAAAAATTTGGGCCCGATCGGTTCAGCCGTTTTGACGTTTATTGGATACAAACAAACAAACAAACAAACAGACAAACAGACAGACAGACAGACAAGCCAAATTTATATATAGATACTGAAGATCAAGGGCTGATAAGATCAATATGTTTAACTAAATAAGATCAAGGGTTGATAAGATCAATACATTAAACTATATAAGATCAAGGATTGATAAGAGCAATATATTGAGCAGCAGCCTCCTGAAGATCCTCCAGAAGGTATTCGACCTCTGCTGCCTCTGAATAGCCTCCGGAGTGCTGAAGAAGGCAATGAAGAGCTTGTTTACAATCAACTCCAAAATTTTGAATCTAAAATAAAATTTTAGAAAATGAAAACTTTTTATTTTATTTTAGTAGTTATTAATATAAATATCCATATAGCGTTGATATTTAACTAGATTACGTAAGATGAGTTGTTTAGTCTCTTCACATACAGGGTGTCCCAATAAATATGAGAATTAAGAGTTGTATTCAAAATCGTTTTTAAAAAGAATTAGCGTAGTGTTATTTTCAGTGGTCAAAATAAAGTTATACGTCTGCTAGAGTATATTTTATGTAAACGGTGTATGTAGGATTTTTAGCGAACGAAAGTTTCGCGAAAAAAGCAAAAAAAAAATAAGATAATTTCGCGGGAAAAAAAATCCGTAAAACCATAAGTTTTGCAGCCGCAACAATTAATTGCGTTAAAAAACTTTCTCTCCAGTATTTTTCTCGCAAAATTTTCGCATTTTGTTTTCCCAAAAAGCGAAAAATTTCGCATTTTTCGCGAGCAAACGAAATGTAAAAAAACGAGAAATTTTTAGGGAAAATGTTCGCGAAAGGATGTTCCTGTTTCGCTGGAAGAGGGAGGGGGTGCAGAGGCGCCATGATCCCCGCAAAAATGACCTCCGAGCCTCAGGATTTGCAGAATTACCTCCAGGCCCCGCAAAACTGGTCTCCCAGCCTCCGTGACGTCACCAAGCCTTCCGCCATTCTGTCTCCACGCCCCGCATTTTGGTCTCGGCTTGTTGTTTTTATTTTTTGTTTAAATTTATTGGCTTAACCAAACAATTATCAAAATATATTTCTTCAAAGTAGACTCAGTCATAGTTTAAAGAACCGTTTAATTAACAATTTTGACATGTTAATTCATTCTATTGTTCTGGAGTTGTTTTTCTGTAAAAGTTTACATTAAGATGGAAAGAGTAAAAGATGGCCTTTATAAACGACTTTCTAATATTTTTGAAGGCATCATGATTTGAAGATTTTACTAGCTCTCGATTCCTTAGCATTACATTTTATCATAAAAATGCAAATTAATGAGGATCTGCCCTATAATATACGAGTTTTTGCGCACCCCNACCTCTGTATATTAATTTTAGTTAGTATAGCATGTAATAGATATTTAGATTATTTTATTTCTTAGTTTCAACTTTGAAAAAAATAGTTCTTCAATATTTTCTGAAGCATACAATAAAATCACAAATACAAGGATTTCACAAAAACTACCTTGTTTTGTAAATTGCCGCTGAAATTGTTTGATTCGTATATGAGACCCCTCTAAAATAATATAAAAATTTTCTATCTTTATACAAAACTGCAATAGTTCTTCACAATTTAAGGAATTTGTGAAAGAACCTGTCAAATCTTTCGTTGGGATGTTTATAAAGATGAAAATTTCCCTGTATGATAATTGAAGGACTGCAGTATGGTTTTGGTGAATTATATTGGCGTACAAAGCCTAGGGGTGTCAGAAATTATTTTTTTTTGCATATTTTTAAAAACTTCTATAAAACTTTTAAAGTTTAATTTTTGATAAAACTTTTTGTTCTGGATGATTGCAAATATCTATCTAAAACTTTCTTAAACCGGCATATTTTTTCTATATTCATTTAGTTAAGAGTTTGAGTCAAAATAAGTATTAATAAATATTGCTTAATATCCATAAACATACCGATGTAAAACCTTTCAGAAAGTAGGAAAGATTCTGCAAAAAAAAGTTGCAAACCAAACAGAATTTTTATTTTGAACAAAAAAGTAGGAAAGATTCTGCAGAAAAAGTTGCCAAACCAAACAGAATTTTTATTTTGAACAAAAATATTTAGAACTTAAAGAAGCTTTTCTTGGTTGCACTTTACTCTAGTTTTGCATTATTTTCATTTGTGTACGTAAATCAGTATAAAAGACATTCTGTTGATGGTTTAAAAACTAAACAGCTGATGATTAATTGGAGGGAGGAATGGCAAAAACACCAATTTGTAATTCGAAAATCTTTTAATGTAAAGTGATTGTAACAGGGAATACAGAGTGCTTTAGGGTACAGGGTACTACAATGTACTGCAAAGTACTGGGCTTTACTAGGGTATACTGGGGGGAGGGGGTACAGAAACCAAACAGAATTTTTTATTTTTAATAAAAAAATATAAGTTAGCACTTCTAAGGATGTTTTCTTTATAGTTTTCCACTATTTTCACGGACAAAAAAGCTAGTTTAATACTAATCAGCTGACCACTTAATGGAGGGAGGGATGGCAACAACGCCAATTTGTAATCCCCATATCTGCAGGGTACTGTTGGGTTCTGCAGTTGGGTACTCCGGGGTACTTTGAGGTACTGTGGGGTGCTGTGGGGTGCTGTGGGGTTCTGTGGGGTACTGTGGGGTACTATGGGGCTACTGTGGGGTACTGTGGCTA